GCCGTGGAGGTCTTCTTCGCTGAGTACCGAGTTGAGTGAAGGGAAGCTCAACTCAGTTCTTCGTTTCATCCTTCTGCAGAGTCTTCAGCTCATTCATCGACATTCAAACTCCAACTCTGCAGCAGCTGATTTATCCATCAATCATCGATCTGGTTCACACAGCCTCCGATGCAATTTCTGGTACAGCCTACCCTATTCACATCCACTAAATTCCTTCACCTGCAGCGTCATCATCGAAATCTCATCTTCCTTTGATTTTGCACTAATCGAGCTCCTCCAACCGAGTTCCATTTCTGCGTCATTTTATCTTGTTCGTTTGGCGCTGTTGGCTTGATGGGGTCGTATTGCCCAGTCCAAGGTTATGTTATCACGATAGGGTCCATCCGAGCTTGTCCAATAAAGCAGAAGCAACAGAAGGAGGCGGCTTCTCTAGCGCAATGCATGAAGCCACTATTGCACCAAGAGACCATATACATACTTTGCAACAGAGCATAACCATATTCAATTTGAATGTGATTGGGGTTGGGAAGAGACGCCGAGGAAGAGACGTAAGTCAGTAAAATAACAAACTCACGATTTCTTTATTCTTCTACTTGTGCATAACCATAAAAAATTAAAGTAGTCAACATGCAACCAAATTAAAACTTAGATGGTATACTGTGGAATTAACCCTTCATTAAATCAACCCAGCCCGCGCCACATTAGTACCACGTGGACGAATCAGATACAGTGTCATCGGTGCGGCATTTTTTACCGCGTACCGTAGTATTCGATATGAGACTTCCCTTTACTAAAAGAGAATGAGCCCAAAACGAACTTAAGCGCATTCAATAAAGGAAGACTAAATCAAACTGTTAGAATAAATGGGTTTAGGAAAAGGAAAGCAAGCATTCACGTTTGTCCCATTCTCAATTAAGATTGATTTCTACGCTTCCGACGGCGGAGCATCAAAGCTCTGTTTCTTCGCACCAAACTCAGAAAACAAAGTATTAAGCAAAAGACAGAGCACAACACATAAACGTAAGTAAAGATCAGGAGAATTACACAAGAATTTTAATGTGGTTTATCAACAAGGGTTACTTCACGTCTCAGCATCAGTACCCACGGATTCTAGAAGACTTATTTTACTATTTTATCTATCAAATGAACATACACGAAAATTGTAAAAAGACTTAGCTTACCCATTCGTGGAGCGGGATCGGGAGCGAGAGAGCGTTTATTTTTCAAGTATTGGATATTGAGAGCGTGGACAGTTCACCGATATTATATTATTTTTGTTAATTAATTAATTTTCTTCAACGATATGAAAAATAAGTGTAAGAATGAAGTACCTTTTTCTTTTTGAAAGAATAAGTTCGCTATAATCTAACACTTTAAAAAAAGTCAATAATCCAACACATTTTCGAAACAAGTGAAGCAGAGGGGCCAAAGATCAAGAAATGGAAAGTAAAGTAAAACTAATGGAACAATAGCAAAATGATAGAAAAGCAACGCAATCATCTCCATCGAAGCGAATGGAAGCTACAGGAGCCGCCTGAACGTGGCAGACCCAAAGTCAGTAAAAAAACTAGTGGAAAAAATGCAAAAAATGAAAAACAAGTAAGAGTGTTTGGATGTGACCCTATGAAACAGTAGAACCTTTGCTTGTTCTTTTAAGATAATAATAATAATAATAATAATAATAATAATAATAATTTTTTGTTTTTAGCAACACTAATTGTACAATCGCAACGCAGATTTTGTCCAACATTTACTACACGAATGTCGTAATCAAGGAGATGATCGAGCATATTAGTTTTATCAAACACCGGATTAATACTCAACGAAATCGTATTGCTATCTTGTAGATTACCCCCACGCAGGATCTGGTACCAAAACTACTAAACTACAACGGCCAAGTAAGTGTAGTTTTGCTGGACTGAGAGCTGCCGCCATCTCGGAATTCGGTCGGCGGTTATTTTTGTTGCTACGGCCTACGTGGCTTTGGGTTCTCCTCCAAGTAGACGACACTTACAAAGTTACCGCCAAACCCCTAAGATTTTAGTATCTTCATGTTCATCCCTAACATTTTAGAATTGTTACTTTCCGGTTTAAAAACATGACTATTTGTTTCCCAAAGAATAAATAGCACGCATAAAACTGAGGGCAATACCAGTATAAACTTTCAGACCTTTTATTACATCATATTGATAATTATTGGATGCCAAACACCTGAATAGGTTTGGCCTTTCATGTAAAAGTCTATTTATATGGCTCAATTTTTCTTATATGGGTCGTGATGTTCTTCTCCCAACTTGTCTTTGAAAGCTGAAGACGATTGGCATTGATCACCACATATACCCACACAATAATTTGCTCCAGCATGACAATGCCCCATGCAACGTTGCCAACACTTCAAGAAAGGATCCCCGCGACCATGGCATGGAGGCAGTGGAGAAACCAGTAGTTGCACCAATACGACCACCATAAACAACTTTGATATCGCGTTCGTCCTCATCGTAGAGATTGTTGTTCTGGAAACAGAATCGTACATATATATATATATATATGGAACTCGGAAATATGTCTGATTTTATAATGTTTCTCTTCCATTGAACCTGACCAAGATGAAACAACTCCACCAGATCCTGTGCAATTAATACACTACAAATTAATGTCTTGGGATTTTATTTGACTTTTGTATGAAAGTAAAAGTTTGTTTCCCTTATCCGAAATTCAGTCAACTTTTTAAACGCGAACAAACAAGTGGGGAAGCGTACAACAAGTGGATGGGATAGCGTTCACATCCCCTATGAGGGTTGTGATTTTCGCTTCCCACGTTCCAAAGAGGGTTGGTAATCATCCTATGAGGGTTGGTAATCATCCTATAACAACTATGCTGCTGTGAAATGTTCACGTGACACAAACAATTACCATTTGGATACCTACAACATGCGCTATAGTTAAGGGGTTATTTGCAACAAAAATAAGTTAGGGGTCAACTACAACATGCGCTATAGTTAAGTGACAATTTATAGAGGTGTTAATCGGTTGGTGGTTTTTGGTTAAACCGAAACCGAATCAAAAATCGCGGTTATTCACCAAACCGATAATCGAAAATAGTGATTCGGTGTCGGCTTCGATTGGCTGTTTTGGGGATTTTTGCTAACCGGCAACCGACGGTTGCTCACCGATATAATCTCGGTGCACCGCCAAAACCGCGAAACCTCTCGAGACTCTCCCTCTCTGCTCTCACCATCGCCACTCTGCCTCTCCCTGGACTCCAAACCTCTCCTTCTTCACTCGTCACTCTCTCTCCTTCCTTCCTTGCCCAGTTCCATCTTCAATCGCCCCGCCCGATCTTGACGTCCCTTCTCCAAATCCCTTCAATCACCATCTCCCTCTCCCTCTCCTCTCGGCTCGCCCCTCTCCACCCTTTCTCAAATTGGGAATCCCAATCGCCAGCCACCACCATCCTCAATCTCTCCCTCTCCTCTCGGCTCGCCCCCTCTCTACACTTTCCCAATCGGCAGCCACCAGCCCACCACCATCCTCAATCTCCGCTCTCTACCGACGTTCCTCGGCAGCCACCACCATCCTCAATCGCCACTCGCCGTCGACTTCTCCGCCTCAATCGCCCCCGCCTGACTTCGCCGACTCCTTCCTTGTCGAAAGAGGTCGCCGGCTCGCTACTGCGGAAGGAGTCAGCGTAAGCAGATCCACTCACCTCGTTGCCGTCTCCGCTTCCCATTGCATGTTCCTCGATGGTCGCTGCCTTGCCTTCCTCATCCTCGGCGGTCAGCAGCGAGATCCCGACCCACCCTGCCTTCTTCAGTCGTCGTCGCCCTGCCGCTGCCACTGTCCTTCCTCCCTCTCCAGTCTCCCCTCCTCTCGACGCTTTCTCCCTCCATCTACCTCGATTTGCGGGAGACCCAACTTGGAATTTTTCGCCTCTGATGCCTCTCTCTTCTTCCCCTGCTGCCGCTACTTCAAAATTGGTGTCGGTCGGTCTCGACAAACCGCAACCAAAAGTCGAAACCGACAGTGGCGGTTGGCGGTTAACCGAGAATCCCTTTGGTGTCGGCTTCGGTTGGCAGTGCTGGGTGATTCTCGATCTCGGCTAACCGAACCGAAACCGCACCGCTATCACCCCTAACAATTTGGGAAAAAATCCCACTGTACACATGTTTTTAAAAAAAATTCTCAAAATACACATGTTATGAAAAAAATTCCCAATCTACGCATGTTTGGCCTTCACCGCGTCTGACCAAGGCGGTGATTGAATCACCGCGTTAGACGAAAACGGTGATTGCATCACCGCGTTAGACAAAAACGGTGATTGCATCACCTCTGTAGAGGAAGGCGGTGAATGCATCACCGCGTTAGAGGAAAACGGTGAAGGTCTGACCTACGTCAAATCTTTAAAAAAACGTAACTTTTTGCTCGGTTATCCGATCGTGATGAAATTTTTTTTGATTCCGCATAATTTTTCGAGATCTTGCAAGCCGCAAACGTTTGCGGCTTGCAAGATCTCGAAAAATTATGCGGAATAAAAAAAAATTTCACCACGATCGGATAACCGAGCACAAAGTTACGTTTTTTTAAAGATTCGACGCAGGTCAGGCCTTCACCGCGGCCGTCGAACGCGGTGAAGCTATCACCGTTTTTGTCTACAGCGGTGATGCAATCACCGTTTTTCTCTAACGCGGTGATTGCATCACCGCCCTGCTTTAACGCGGTGAAGCAATCACCGCCTTAGTCTGACGCGGTGAAGACCCAAACATGCGTAGTTTGGGAATTTTTTTCATAACATGTGTATTTTGAGAATTTTTTTTAAAAACATGTGTACAATGGGATTTTTTCCTAACACTTTGTGCATCTAAACCCCTTCCTACCCCGACCCCACCCACTTCCCATTTTAACGCCGTCAAGTCACGCTAGCCGCTCATACCGCCGTCAACGCTCACGTCATCGTCTTCCTCTTCTGTAAGCTTCTCCACTGCCCCCACCACCCAACTCCTCGCTCCCAACTAAAATAAAGTAACAAGAAAAGGGAAAAAGGGTTTCACTCGTTCTTTCCTTTTTTTCTTTGCAAATCGGTAATCCAGCTCTCTAACTCCTCGTTCTGGAACTCAACAATTGCCGCTGCCGCCGCTGCTGCTGCTGCTGCTGCTTTCAGATAAATGCAGGTTTTGTTTTGGATTCCCACTCCTTCCTCTCAGCTGAGATGACGCTCTCCCCCCTGTAGCTGTTCTGGGTGTTTCCTTTCTTACTTTCCCGATTATGGCTATCCGGGGAGTTGATTTCAAGTGGTAAAGTTCCTATCTTTCTTCTTTTTATGCTGTACATAGTAGCGCGCTTGAAATTGGTGAGATTTTCGCTTTAATGGGTTTGTAGCAGCTTGTCTTACATTCAGAATTTTGGGGTATTTCTCCAGGTACGATGGCTTCTTCTTGTCGATGCTGGCAACGAGCGTGTATCCTTGAATTCTGAATCGTTTTTCTTTGTTTGTTTCTTGAGGTTCTTTGGGGGTATCTCTGTTCGAATCTCTTAAAGTTATTTTTGGAATTGGGGAAATGGGAATTGGGGGTTGTTCTTCCTAAATGGTTTCCCGCTGATAGAATAATTGTTGCCATCAACTGGAAGCGCTATCATTTCTGTACGCACCCTCTGCACATATGGATTGTGGTGAGTCTCTCTCGTTCTCTTTCTCCATAGTCTTGTGGATCGGGTTGTTTTGAAACCTCTGGTTTAGGGGTTGCGAAGCTTATTCCATCTCTGCTGCAACAGGTTGATTACACTACTGTGTTTGTATTTCGCCTGTTGATGTTCATAGATAATGGACTTGCTGCTGGAATGGGATTGTAAGTCTTATGGCACTTCATTCCCCCTTATCATTCAGTTTCTGTAATTATGTTATTCTGGCTATAGGTCCCTGAGTTCTCTTAGGAGGAGTTAGCGATTTGGTTTCTTGAGATGAGATATGTGAATGATTTGGTTGTATATGCTTGACTCACTCGCCACAAAACAACAATTTGTCTGTTATGATTCTAATTTAATAGCATTGCCTTCAGTTGGTGCTTGTTCAAATCTTCCTTAAAGACTGTAATGTGCTAACTTGTTCCATCTTCTCCAATTGTCTTTCACATGATGGTAGGGATTTCGGACGGCAGCAGAGGCGTGCCCGTTTTCGTGGAAGAGTTGTGGTCATTTCAATCTTGTCTATGCTACTCTATCCATTTCTTTGGGCATGGACTGTGATCGGAACACTTTGGTTCACAAGCGCAAGAAATTGTGTAAGCTCCCTTTAGCTTTTGACATTCTTTGAATCATCTTGCTGGAGGTCATGTGGAATCTTATCTTATCTCATGCAGTTGCCCGAAGAAGGTCAGAAATGGGGTTTCCTTATTTGGTTGTTATTCAGCTACTGTGGACTTGTGTGCATTGCTTGCATGTGTCTTGGGAAGGTATCCACTCTTCTTAGTTTCTGAGTGCCATGATTTTTAGAATGAGTTGTCTTGTTCTATATCACCTTCGTATCCCATCTATGCAGCTAAGCAGCATACCAAAGTGTTTCTCTATCACCTTCCTTTTTCCAATATGCCCTATTAATTTATGTCAGTGCTGCAATCTATTTCCATTGCAGTGGTTAACTAGAAGACAAGCACTGATTGCACGGGCACAGAATGGAGTTCCAGTTTCAGAATACAGGGTATTTGGTTTTGAGAATTTTGAGTTGCTAATCTTGTTCAGATCTTCTTGGTTGAGATTTTCTTAGAAGTATTTGAAGATGGTCCATTTATTCAGCCATCCACTTGCACTCTATCCCAGGTTCTGGTCGACATGATCCAGGTTCCCGATTGGGCATTTGAAGCTGCTGGTCAAGAAATGCGAGGCATGGGTCAAGATAATAATACTGCATACCACCCTGGACTTTATTTGACTCCTACTCAGGTGGCTGCTTCTGTTTTCACAATTCACTCTTCTCGTTGTAGCGTCCCATTAATATGGTTGTGGCCAGCTGATAGTTTTCATTTTACAGAGAGAAGCTGTGGAGGCACTGATTCAGGAGCTGCCAAAGTTCAGGCTAAAGGCTGTTCCAACAGATTGCAGCGAATGTCCAATCTGCCTAGAGGATTTTCACGTTGGGAATGAGGTTTGGCAACAATTTCCTTTGTCTAATGTCACAACTTGAAGCAGCAGGCTTCTTTATGTGCTTACTGACATAATGCTTGCAATGGTCCAGGTTCGTGGGTTGCCGTGTGCGCATAACTTCCATGTCGAGTGCATAGATGAGTGGCTGCGGCTGAACGTGAAATGTCCGAGATGCAGGTGCTCGGTGTTCCCTAACCTCGACCTCAGTGCATTGTCCAATATAGAGAGGGCTTCAACACCAACCACCATCACTAGTACCACACGTTACATGAGGTCACAACCTGCAAGCGAAAGCTACCGGTTGAGGCTACAAGGCTTCCTGAGGCCGGTCCGTAGTGGTGAGGTCAGAGCTCCAGCTCCCCCAACTGATGCAGCAACCAATAGTGCCGAAAGTGGTAACCTAGCTGTGGCAATCGAGCAACCTGGAACGAGTGAACCAGAGGGACATGTTCCTGTCAGTCACCGGATCCAAGATCATCATTAGATGATTGGTTTGTGAATTGTCTCGACTTCTCAACTTCCGACCTTCTCCGCTAGAGAACCGGCTTGTGGGTTTGTCCATAAAACAGTGATGATCAGCGCTGTCCAACCAAGTGGACAGCCAGGTTCTTCCGTTTGTCAACTGCAGCCATGTTTGGCTTGATGTGGAAAACTTGCTTCATTTTGTCTGTCAGATCATCGTGAAGAGACATTAGGAACTGTGTTGTGAATGTAATGACTAGAAACTCTCACACTCTACAACTGTAATGATTCCGTACATGATAGACCCAGTGGCGGTTCAGTTGAAATGTGATCGAACTGTTGCTTGTATGGATTGGAGTCTTTGGATTAAGGTAGGTAGAGATTAGAAAATGACTGGGGTGTTAAGTGTCTGGTTGTGCTTGAATGCATTTGAGAAGTGGGCCAAAGTGCAAATGAGGTCATTTTGTAGTTTAATGGGTGTTATGTGACTTATGAGATGATGGTTTCATTGTTTAACCAAACCATCAACTTATGGCCACCCATTGCTCTCTTTGAAAGGTCACCAGCATTAGCTTGAAATTTGGTAAAAAGCTTGTCCAGTTTTGATACTGTGGTACTGGTCTGTGTGGATAACACTTGTCACCAAACAACAAATTCATCTCCTCCTAGGCAAAAAGACAATTAGGGTTTACTTCTCTGTCCTCGTCCGTCTGTTCATAAGTGATGATGAATATGTGGATTATCCCATTTTTGCTTTTGAGAAAGCCAAGTTCTTTGCTGAGAGATGTTTAAGCTCTGCCACATGCTTAGTTGCTTCATTTAGAATCCGATAATATCAATTCTTACATATTAACTCCAACTAATTCCTATCAAATTTACATACTTTTTTAGGAAACAAGACACGTAAAATGCATCGTCCAAACTACGTTTGCCAACTTGGGTGTAGCCTTGGTCTCAGCCTCGATGATCGTCAATTCACAAATCACAATCCTGGTTTGTGACACGACCCTCTACTCCCCCATATTATCCATAATCTCGGCCCCTTGGTTTGGAAGGCTTTGCATTCTTGGATTTCGACGCATAGCTTAATCCACAATTCGATTGAGTCGTTTTACAAATATATCAGCTCGAATTGTTTCCTAGCATCATATGCCTCTTTTAGTGGCAACACACTCTCCTACCACTCTCATAGTTAGTGGCATATCTCATATGAGCAAACACCTTTTAGTGACATATTCATCCCTTATTAACACATGTCATCGTCTCATATTAAATTATTAATACATGGTATTTTCCACACGTCTCTATATCATTTTTGTATTAGGTCAATTATCCGTCCACTGATCTAGCTTCTTCAGCAAAACCCTTAAGATGCCCTATGAATAGATTATATTTTCATCCTAAATAAAAAATTACGTCATCCATACACTATTTCTCATCTATTCTAATCGGTTCACTTCGTTTGATTTTATCATTTAAACCCAACTCACTGTAAACATATTATCTTATTCCAAAAGCATTTAGGTAACTTGACTATGACATTCACAAAGAAGATCTGAGAGTACATTGCAAGAACCAAGGTTGTCAAATTGGTATAAGTCGTTGAGGCGGTCAAGTAAGGGATTTGAGGTTTAATGGTCTGATCAGGGTCCGGCCGGTTTGAGCCGTTTAGACGTTTTCTAAATATATATACAAATAAGGTAGTAACTAAAGATTTAATGATTGAAATGAAATTTATCTTACATGTATCTATTAAAAACTTATTTTTCAAAAATAAATCTACCTAAACTCAATAACCCAACCACCATCTTCCTTTCTTCGTGCATCTTCCTCTCTTCTCCTTCTCTTCTTCTCCCTCTTTAGGGATCAGATCGGGTGGCTTTCTGAAAACTATTTTGAAGCACGAATTAAGTCGGACCGAATCCAATCGAGGGATATGATAGGGGTTTAACAACCTTGGCAAGAACTTTTAGACCAAACATAATATCCAAATAAAGAATTTCAGGATTAAACCATTTTTTTCAGAAAAAGTATTGCAATCGTATAGTATGTTTGGTTTTTTCCTTTTCCCTTTTATTTGTCTGTACTAGTTTTGCAAAGCTTATCTCCTCTTAAATAAAATAAAAGTCTGCTAAAAAAATGTAAAAATTACAGCTACGTATTTTTTTAGGAGATATCCGGCTGGGCCTGTGCTGTGTGTTTGCTGCTCCGCAATTTATAATTTTCTTGCTGGAATTTTCGTTTTGCGATTACCATTTCATTGTTTAATCGTATTATCTTCTTCTTTCTCGTTCTTCGGCCTCGCCTCTGGCGTTACGGCGTGGAAACAAATCCAGAGATGGCAGGGGCAAATCTCTGGCTGGCCGGCGGCCAAGCGGTAGCGACGGCGCCCCAATTGAAGCCCTTCTATTGCCTTGACTCCTCGCCCAAAAAACCCATCAGCAACAGTTTCGGCTTCGTGGGTTGGAGTAGTTTTCTTCATCACAGTAGCTCCAAGTCCAGAATCCCAAAGAACTTCACGAATTTACGGAGTTGCCGCTGTGGTAATGGCGATATTATTAGTAGCAGTTCCGCTGATTTGTGTTCATCTTCTTACTCATCTCTGGACTGGGATTGGAATAGATGGGGCCGTCACTTCGCTGAGATCGAGCAAGCTGAGAGCTTTGCCTCTGTTCTCAAGGTAGTTTCCTCGTTCTTTTTTCTCTCTGGTTCTTCTTTGGGCTCTTTCTGGAATTGGGTTCGTGCGTTTGTCTTATTAGTCAGCCTAATGTGATTGCCGTATGCTGGGGCTCGGTTGTAAAACCAAGGTTTCGAACAGGGTTGGAATTTTCTTGATTGTTCAAAGGATATGCTTGTATATGTTTCTTTCTTATTTGAGTTATCTGAAGTCATGTTCTTACAGTTTCAACTGGAAGAAGCAATTGAAAAGGAAGAGTTCCAGGAAGCTTCAAAGTTGAAGAAGGCCATAGCTGAAGCTACTTCAATGGATAGTGTTGCTGAAATCATGTTTGAACTCAAGGTTTGAATTCCGGTTATGTCTACCCCTTTTTGTGTAGTTTCCCCTCGTGCTTTGGAACCTGTGATGTTCATCCTCTCTTGTGGTGTGTGCAGAATGCTATTGACGAAGAGCGATACCATGATGCTTCAAAATTATGTAAACACACTGGAAGTGGATTGGTATGTATCTTATACTAGCGGTCCTTAAATGGTTTGTGAATGTAAATTTCTTATTATAATCTGTCTGGATCTGGTGGCTTCCTGGAAAATTACATCAAACAGCAATATCCCCCCATAACTTGAGGAAATTTCTAAAACTTCATTGTGTTTTTTGGTTGTTGGCTTTGGTTGACCATGGTGATCAATATGTTCTGGATATAGTTCATTTCATGTAATAAATGAACTTAACACTTTCATGGCCTTTTAGGGGTTTCTTTCTGAGTTAAATTTTTTTTCCTTTCGTTGTAACAGGTAGGTTGGTGGGTAGGTTATTCAACAGATTCCTCTGACCCCTTTGGAAGACTTGTTCGTATAACACCTGGCATGGGAAGATTCATCGCCAAGAGTTACACCCCAAGGTTTGCCCATCCCCTTGGTTCTTTGAAATATATATGAATGTTAAGTTGAAGGTTGTAAAAGTTGTTCATTGCTGCAGGCAGTTGGTCAATGCATCTTCTGGTACTCCATTGTTCGAGATATTTGTTGTCAAAGATCCAGATGAAAAATATGTGATGCAAGTGGGTAACTAGAGCTTTTTGAAGTTCAAAGCTTCCTTTTTGTTGATAATTTTCTAAGTTCACAGTTGCATCCATTTCAGTAAGTTAGTTTTGTGTTTGGTCAAATCTCCTTGACCTGCTTTGCACTTAAACCCGAGATAAAGCATCTCTGGGGACACTTAACGAGATGTTCAATCTGGGAAAACTTAAGCGATAATTATTATTATTTCTAGTGATATATGAATCTGTTTCTCATTATTCTGTGTTTGTCATTTTTTTTTTTGGTAGAAGGTTTTTTAGTGGTCGTATTTGATAACAGGATGTTCTGATTTTCCAATAATTCCCAGGTAGTTTGTTTGCGAGCCAAAGCAAGTTCGAAGAATTCCACAACTTCCCCACCTAAATCTGTAAAACCCTCTACGGCTGAGGTGGAAAGTGTATCTGATGGAGATGTTGAGCAAAATGAGGTTAAAGAAGAGGCAACTGATGAAAAGGGTGTAAATATCGAGGGAGCTACTGAGGAAGGAATTAAAAGTGTGATAAATTTTCTTAAAGATAAAATTCCAGGGTTGAAAGTGAAAGTCATGAACGTTAATGTTACTGGAGAAGTGGCGGCGGAAGATGATGATGCTTTGAAGCAGTTGATTCAAGATGAGGATGAAAAGGCAGTGTCTAATGAAGATTCTGAAGACGAATCTGAGAAGTTAGAAGAGATTCAGTCGGATGGAGTTTCCTTAGTGAGTAGTAGTGAGTCCTCAGAGGATGTAAAAGATCTCGATATGAAACTTTTTATTGGTGGAGTGGTACATAACAATGAGGATACCCCTACCAAGGATGATTATTCCCGCGTGCCGGCTGAGATCAAAGATGTCGAGAAAGATTCTTTCGTTCTACACATCCCTGAGAGAATCTTGGACTATGACAAGGCAGACAGTAAGCCTTCCAAGTTGAAAGTGGCAGCAATTGCAGCTAAAGGTGTTTCTGAACTTATGCCTTCAGATATAGCGAAGGCATTTTGGGGTGCCGACAAAGTTTCTTCAAAGGTGAGTATAGCTATTCCACTTTACTCTATTCAATGTGATTAACAAGCTTCCCTGTTTCTCTCTCCGTTCTTCAATTATTGGCAAGGTTGATGTGTATGCACTCCCCTTCTTGATCTCGTTCTCGTTCTTCAAGTGTGATCTCCATCATAATGAAGTGACCCACTTGCTTGATTACTTGCAATATTCTGATGCTTTAATTGTTTGTTATTACCTTAGGTTTCCAGGAATGTGCGTGAAATATTCAAACTTGCTGTTAGTCAGGCTCAAAAGCAGAGTAGATTGTCAGAATTCACAAACTTCTCCAGAATTACAAATACAAACGATCTAGATCCATTTGACGGTGAGTTAGTTAATTGATTTGCTTTCAGCCCTTTGATGGTGTAGCAATCGATGGCTCTTATCATCATTCTATTGTGTTTATGTATAGGCCTATATGTTGGTGCATTCGGTCCTTATGGAACAGAGGTAGTTCAGTTGAGGCGTAAATATGGTCGCTGGAATGATGAGAAAGGCTCCTCTGAATTAGAGTTCTTTGAGTATGTTGAGGCCGTGAAGCTGACTGGGGATCTTAATGTTCCTGCCGGCCAGGTTGCAATCTCTAATTTTTCATATTACTTCTTCACTCTCAAGTTAATTTCAAGTCATTAATGCTAACCTATGAATACAACTGTAGGTTACATTTCGCGCCAAAATTGGGAAAGGGAGTCGCAATTCCAATCGTGGGATGTATCCTGACGAACTAGGAGTGGTAACTTTACTTGCTCTTTGATCGCTTTCTGATTTTCTTGTTCCTGTTTGTATCACAAGGATTGGTGTCTAATCTTGCCCTTGTTCTTGACTCCAGTTTGTTCACCTAGGCTACAATTTTGATGCTTCCTGTACCTATTAAAAGTAATGAAACAGACAGAAATGAATCATTTGTGAAACCAGTTAAATTGAATAGTTCTTTTGAAATACCCACTAAAATCAATTGCACGTCTATTTGCATGCGATATATTATAGGCTGACAAGAATTTTTAGGTTTCAACCATCACACAGTGACAAACAAAGCAGTGCACTAATTGTTTTCCCCCTGCTTTGGCATATCCGGCTCATTTGTTTATTTCCGTGTTTTCTTGGCGAGACTCAAGATTGAGTTGGACATAAGAATGGTGACAAAAACTGGCATACTCTTGCTGGTGTTGCACATATATAATTGTTTATTTCCATGCATTCAGTTGTTTTCTAGCATGTATCCTGCAACACTAATGTTTTTTTTTTCTCTTGGCTTTCTTGAACTTGCCGAGATCGTAGATCCTAAAATTGGTTTACATCTTGTTTCCGGAACTGCTCTTGTCCAGGTTGCGAGTTATAAAGGTGAAGGAAGAATAGCAGAGTTCGGTTTCAAGAACCCGAGATGGGTTGAAGGGGAACTTCTCCAACTGAATGGCAAGGTGAGTGAATGCTAAACCAATAAAAGAATTCATGATGGTTCATTTCTTGCAAAACTGTGCTGTTGGTATGCACAAACCTCTCGCAGGCTTGTGTGTGTTCTGGTCAGCAAACTTAAATCCCAATTCGTTCTTTTTTGTTTAGGGAATCGGTCCATATGTGAAAGGTGCAGATCTCGGATTCCTGTATGTAGTCCCAGAGCAGAGCTTCTTGGTGCTGTTCAACCGGTTGCGATTACCAGAATAAGCTCAAGAAAATGGATCATTTATCATCCCATCAGAGAGTTTTTATTTTTTTTGCAAGAATGAATGTATACCACACCCCTCACTCTTCTACTAATAATGTGTATGTACCTATGCGATCCTTGGACGAGAGGAGGGCGGTTTTCCTTCCTTGCCCCACACACTTCTCCCAACTGCTGCATCCCTGATATTACTTACTCTCCACGTCTTCACTTGTCCATTGATTCTGGTAGCAATCCGCGTCGAAACGCGAAATGCTGAGAAAGGAGTGAGTTTAGAATGGCTACTTCTTGCTTCTTTTTGCAGGTTTTTGCTGTCCAGGAAAAATGCAAAGTGATGTGGAAGTTTGGAACTGGTGAAGGGGGAAAGCTTAAAGGGAAGTATTTGGTGCCTTTCTTCTTCTTGCTCCCTTTACGAGTATATTCTTTCTGATCTCCATGATCATGGCAGCTTACGCGTCGGATTGGAGATGGATTTCCATATCCAATTCTTTTCTTGGTTCAGATTTCCTTACACGTTAAGCACCTTAGTTGAATGCCAAAACGAGTGCTGTCCACAGCAAGTAAAAAAGTGCAGAGAAAAAAAAGGGGAGTCGGGGGGAAAGTAGGGGATAGAATTTGTGCCTTTAGAGAAAACAAAGCAATCCCATTATACCAAGCTTACGCTAAAGCGAAGAACTTTTGCTTTTTATATCACCACCACCATCGCACCTTCGTATTTTATCTTTGCTTGTTTGCTTCTTTTTGTGTTTTTTTTCCTTTTCCTATAATAAGAAGCAAATGCTAAAGTGATGTCTCTGTAATTTCAGTCGATAACAAATAATTCGATTTAAGTTATATTCGATTTAAGTTATATCAACGAAATATGTTCGTCAACAGAAAGGAGTCCAACCTCAATCATTAAACATAAGAATGACAACGCATTATTGATTAAGTCGACTCACCACTAAAACCCTTTCAACTTTTTTTTTTTAATGAAAAACCCTTTCAACTTTATTCATTCATGAGAAAGCCAAAAAAAGGGGGGAGGAATTATTCAACTTTACGAGTGGCATCTCATACCAGCACAGTTTTAGTGTGCAATATCTTACGTGGAATCTCAGTACCTCTCTCTCCCAAGTAAGGAGTCATCGTCCTCTGCAACAAAACCCACACCTGCACCTCCAACTAGGGGTGAGAGTTTGGTTTGCGATTTGCGGATTACTCACAAATCACACCGATCCCCACAAGTAGTTGTTGATCACACCCATAATTTGTGGGTAGTGGATTGAGTGTGGTTAGCAAAATTATAATTTTTGTGGTTAGTTGTTAACCACTAACCACAATAATTAACCCACAAAATTCATCATAAGTATAACGAACTTTTTCTTTACCTTTAAGTCCATCATACTTATTTAATAATATTTTATAATAAAAGAAGCAAAGAAGAATTTCGTAGAAAACTAAAATTAACTCATTGTAAAAATAAAAACTTATAGACTATAGTGTGTTTCCAGCGGGATTAATTTGCATTTTGTAAAGAAGCTTTCATCTCTTTCTTCTCCTTGACATAAAAGTTGAATACCAAATTTGATATAAGATATACATTCATGAACAAAACAACAATATATTACTATAATCTTGTTGTGAATAGAGAATTTGTTGGTGGCAGCCACAACTTCACGCCTATAATGATGAATTTTTACGAAAAACCACCGTCAACTCTCACCAAACCCAACCACAATGGATAGTGATTAACCTATTAACCACTGCGGTACGGTTTAGGATTAACATAAAGTCATAAACACAACTTTGTGGATGTGAGTAACAAGATAATGCGGGGCGGATAATCTAACCCACACCAATTTCCACCCCTACCTCCAACTCCGCACCTACTATGACCTGCCACTAGGGGTGATAGTCAGGTCGGTTAGCGGTTAATCGTTAACTGAAAATGTGGTTAGCGGTTACCCGTCAAACAAAAAATCATTATCGTTAGCCGACCCGCCAAGACTTATCAGTTAACCATTAACTGTCGATGCGGTTAGCGATTATTTTAGTGGTTAACCGCCTACTCGCCTGAAAGAGAGAGTAGTGGTAGGTTTGTGAATTTGATCCACCACTAAACGTCATTTATTAACCGTTTATAACTTGGTAACTCGATAAGGGATTTTAAAATTCCTTTTAATGATCCTCAGTCTCCTCTGGAAATCAGTCCCCGACTTTGTTTCTCAAACGAATCCTCTCCCACAATGTTGTTCTTTCTTTAATCAACTGTTTGGATGATCTCTCTCCTTCTCCCCAAGGTAAAATTTGCTTCATTGAATTACAGTGTAAAAGTAGTATTATTTATTGACACACGAGAGGAAAAGCATATTCTTTCTAATTGTTGCGGCCATGAAAACAGCTAGTTAGCTTATCTTCTGATCCCTCTCCCATTACTTATGGTACAAAAGGGATGATATATATGCAATGTTACGCTTCCATAGTGTTGAAAACTTCGTTAATTACTGAGCATTAGTTGATCCCATTTCTTGGGAATTGTCCTATGTTATTGTTTTACTCTGCTTATTAATATGCTCTGAATGTTGATCAACTAAAATATTAATATGCTCTTAATATTAATCATGGTGGATTTGATCTTTTTAATTGCTACATCATTCAAACGGTTGGTTAAAAATAAAACAACCCTGATCGGTAATTAATCGGTTAACTGCTAACCGTCGGTTATTAACCGCTTATGACTAGGTAACCCGATAAGAGATTTCGAGCTTCCGGTAAACCACCCGCATTCTCCTTAACGGTTAACGGTTTAACCGTTAACGGCATAACAGTTTATCCACCCTACCTGCCACTAGGGGTGGGCATCGGTCTGGTCCAGACCAGATCAGACCAAACTCAGGAGAAATCGCGGTCCAATAGTGAAAAATATCTTAGGACCAAGAACTGGACCAATAGTGCATTCGGTCCAAATGTAAATTTGGTCCATTTTTTCAATATTTATAAAATTCATAGGACCAAGAACCGGACCATATTATATTCGATTTGGTGTGATCTGGTCTGGTCCAAACATCGATTTGGTCCGGTGTGGACCAACGCATTGCCCACCCCTACCTGCCGCTCACTGATTGGCTCCTTTCAAGTCAGTGTACTTGTCTTTTCCTTAGTACGTTGACCCTCCAGTCCACCTGTATTCAAACTTGCCACGTGGACATCCGACTAGGCATTCCGGCCCCACCAAACCAAACCAGTAGTTAAAAACCTTATTCCCCCTCCCTCATTTTCTCGCTCGCCAAACAGCCCCTTCCTTCCGCGCTTCTCTCCTCTTCATTCAATTCACATTCCCCCTTCTTCTTCTTCTTCTTCTTTATTCCCTCCTCTCTCTCTCTCTCTCTCTCTTCATTCAGTTTCTTTTCCAGAGCGAGTCAGAAACCTAGCCATGGATTCGAGACCTTCCAAATCGAAGCCCCGGGTCGACTTCCTCAACACCAGGAACATGAAGCGCTCCTCCTCCTCCAACTCGGACTCGCACCACGCCCAGCTCGACTCGCCCCACTCGCCGCTCCGATTCCACTCCCCGCTCCGCTCCGACCAGGGCGACCCGGCCGAGTCACCTCCCTACTCTTCCCCGATCAATTCGCCGGAGAAGCCCACCCCTACCTCCGCCGCCGACAACTCCAAGGCCGTCGTCGCCTTCGACAAATTCACTCACTACACTCCGCCGCCGCCTTCCTTCAACAATGCTGCGCCGGCGGGGAAGCAGCAGCAGCAGCAGCCGGCTCCGCCGCCTCCGTTCCCTCCCATGGGAGCGACTCTGAACCGCGCGGTGAGAGAAGAGGCGGCGCCGTCGGTGAGGAAGGTAGGGCCGGAGGGCGGGAGATCGGGAGGAGACGCCGTCGGGTCCGTACTGCGCCGGTCGGGTAAGGAAGAGAAGGTTCGGCTCGCGGAGATTTGTTTTCGGATTGCGGAGCTGGCTCTCTGCCTGATTTCGTTCTCGGTGATGGCGGCGGATAAGACTCAGGGTTGGAGTGGGGATTCGTTCGACCGCTACAAAGAGTATAGGTAAACTGCCTGCTGACTCTTGTTTCGCGAATTCGATTTGCTTCCTTTAGAATTGGATTGAATTGGTTGAATTGGAGCTCTGCTTGAATTTGCAGGTACTGTCTGTCTGTGAATGTGATTGGTTTCGCTTACTCTGCATTTCAAGCGTATGATCTCGGCTACCACATGGGTACTGGGAAGCATGTCGTTCGCCACCATCTTCGCTGGCACTCCAATTTCTTCATTGATCAGGTAAGTTCATCGTTTGTCTAGAACGTATTGGTAGCATGAAATTTGAACTTATAAGCTTCACATTGCCTATCTAGTCTTGGGTTCACAGTAAGATCATCAATTTACCATACATCATGGTGCTTGTGTCTATTCAGATAGAACAGCTGGTTTGTTTGTAGTTTGAGCTGTATTAAGTTCAGCTTTCTGGTTTGAGCTTCTTGTGAGCCGAATTGCATACTTGGTGGAGTCGTACGATTCCTTCACATTGGAGGTTATTCCCTAAATGCATCCAGATTTTCTTTCTAGTTTCTTCATCTATTCATGATTCCAACCCGGTAGTGAGCTCGTAGTGGCAAGATGTTTGCAGTAGGATTCTACTTAGCCTCCGTTTTGGGTCCGTGATGAGTCTGTCATTATTATCGGGCTACCCCTCTGTAATCCGAGCAGCTCTTGTATCTGCAATCACTTCATTTCAAAGTTACCAGCGAACAGTTGGTCCATTTGTGTAACTTGAGTCCATTACTTGAGCATCATACTAAACAAGTTCGTAATCCGTTTATGAAAGTTCTTTGTGGCTTTTGTTGGACTAAATGGAAATGTCTATTGGGTTCTTGGTTTTACATCAACAGGCACTGGCTTACCTTCTGATCTCCGCATCGTCATCAGCAGCAACACGAGTCGATGACTGGCAGTCGAACTGGGGCAAAGATGAATTCACAGAGATGGCAACCGCTTCGATCGCAATGTCGTTCCTCGCTTTCGGAGCATTTGCTGCCAGCTCCGTCATCTCCGGTTACAACTTCTGCCACCGGGAATCCATCTGACAACACACACACACACACCAGCGAATCTCACACGGCAAGAAACAAAATAAATGGGGGAGGCCAACAGATTGAGGAGAATGTCGAACTGCAATACAGTCATTTGTAAGTTGTACAGAGATATAGATTGTTCACTTGGGCCTAGCAATGGGCCCGCTGGCCTGTGTTGTTCAGCAAGCGGAGAAACGAAAACCTGAAAACTATTTGTGCCTAGCAATGGGCCGGCTGGCCTGTGTTGTCGAGGAACTGGGTTCTTATGTTATGGTCCAGGGCCGTGTATTCTGATAGCGGTGAGTAGTACAGCAATGAGTTGGGCTGGGCTGGGCCCAGATGAGGAGTCCCTTTGCGGAGCCTTTTGTGTTTTTGGTTCAAGATGTGTATGTAAAGAAAATAGGGCAAATACAATATATTAGCCATAACTATTAAGCAGCGGGGAATTATAGTCACAACTATCGAAATATAAATTATTAGCCAATCTTTAAGTTTTCGTTAACACTTCTGTTAGTAATGATGACTAAGCTTTTACGATGGTGAGCTGGCTCCCACGTGGCAGTCATCATATCATATTTTTTACGATGCTGACATAGCCTTCTACGTTAAAAATTTGAAAATAGTAACTGGCTGTTAGCCAAATCTTGACCCACAACAATAGTTATGGCTAATAATTTGTATTTCGATAGTTGTGGCTATAATTCCCCGCTACTTAATAGTTATGGATAATATATTGTATTTACCCAAGAAAATATTGAGGATCAAATCAGTAGTTTGCCGAAATTTGGGGTATGTAATTGTAATAAACCCATAGAGAAGGGAGGGAAAGTCACGTGGGTGTCTTCCATCACCCATGTTCATGTTCATGCAAAAGCCTGACTCCTAAGGGCTGAAGCTACGTGACAAATATTCTTTATTTTATTTATAAAAAAAAAATAAAGGAAAAAAGCAACTATCATCAATCAAGCACTCCCTATAGACAAGAAATATGTCACAGGCAGCAGAGCGCTTTCGTTGTCGCGGTGTACAAATTTCCCATTTGCTTCTTCTTCTTCATCATCATTAATTAAATTAATTAATTAGGTGTTTCTTAATTTATTGATTAGGATTTACGGAATCCGATTAACGTGACTTGAGTACGGACTAATGATGCCATTACGTACGATCAAGTTTGGCACACTTATTAAATTATTCATGAAAGTCTCTTTCAACTACTTATTCCTCTGTTTTTTTTTTCTTCCTTCTCCCTTTTCCTAAATTCAAATTAAAAAAACAATGAATAATTGCAGTAGCTAGCTAGGGACATTATTCAGTTCTGTACCCGTCAAGACATGTGTGTATGTCTCTCTCTGTACCAAATATTTCCATATGTGAAGAAAATTCTCCCGGACTAATAATTATTTGTATTATTATTATTATTTGGAGATTATAAAATCTTCTGGGGAGTCAAAAATGTAACGCGGTCGACCAAGGTATCGAACCACGATCAGCGTATCATCAAAGATGATTCTACAGTAGCGGAAGTTATAATTTGATCTACACACAGGTTGATTTCTAATTAAGAATTTGGAAAATCAATTATGCGCACTTCAAACAACAACAAAAATTAAGAGAGATATCAGATATGATATATATCACATCACCCAAATTGGCTACTTCAATTAAGAGAAACTTGATTTCTGGGGGGGTGTTATCTTATTTGTAATCTAGATGATGATTGGTTTTGTAACTAGGGTAGTTTGAACACAAATATTATACATGCAGATACTTTGTGATGTCACACGATTAGGCTTGGCAACCCTGACCGACCCAGCGGGTATCCACCCGAAACCCGCCCGAATTATACCCTAAAAATCCGTCCGTTGTGGGCTTTTGGCGGATTCGGATTTACCCGAAACCCGTGGGTCGCGGGCGATGGGTGGGGACGGTATTAGTGGTATCCGCCCCGCCCCCGCCCCGAATCATAAAACGACGTCGCTTAGACATCGTATATAAACCAAAAAACGAGCCCTGCAAACCCTAATCTCTCATTTTCCACTCTCCGCCGTCCCAAACGACTCCTCCCATTCCTCTAATCTTCCTCTTCGAGAACCTCCCGACACCCTAGCTTCTTTCTCTCCATCGAATCTCCAAACATCTAATCCGCTCAAAAATCTCTCTGTTCCCCACGATTTCCTCCCAATCCAGCTTCTTTATACAATTATGATTGCCTACTGGCAATCATTATCTCTCAATTTGGCCAATTGGATGCTAGTTTTGCCGGCGATTTCGTCGGGAAACAGCATGCAGAGCCCTAAATTGCCCGCTGCAATCTTCGATTTGCAGCTATTGGGGGAAATCGACGTGATATCGCACATCGAGCGAGATAAGTTCCTTCTCCCCCTTTTCCTTTCGTATTCTGCTGCACTTTCTTGCCTTCTTCCTTCTTCTCGTATATAAATTAACCCCTCGATTAATTTCAGGTCACTGGTCAGCCTTCTTCCTTAAACCCATTACCTGCACTCTGCTCAGAGCACAGTCGAGGTAAGCACAAACTTAACCCATTATTTTTCCAGATTCATGAGCTGTGTCTATCATTCGATGCATGCATGCTAATTTTCTTTTGTTTTTTTGGCTTTGTTTGGGAGTTGTTTAGCTTCGCATTCGAGGCATCAGCTGTGTCTATCATTCGAGGCATCAGCTCAGTGCTCACCATCTGCAGTCTGGTGAACAGAGTCTCCCTCAGTCCCTCTCCAGATTACAGGTAACTTCCAATTGAAGACTTTCCTTTTTTTTATTGGTCCAATTCAACTCTCGATTTAGTCGATTGTAATTTGTATTGTGTGTTGTGTGATTTGTCTGGGTAGTTTATAGTTTTGGTTGATTGATTGAATGCAATTATTTAATTGTTTATGTAGATGGATGGTGCTACTGAAAATTGTGCTTTGAATGCGAATGATCCTACTGTGCCTTCTAATCAAAACGGTAATGGTAATGGTAATGGTAATGGTAATGGTAATGGTAATGGCAATGTTAATGGTAATGGTTCTGGGAATGATGCTAATGGTTCTGGGAATGTTGATAATGGTTCTGGGAATGATGCTAATGGTTCTGGGAATGAAAATGTTGAAATAATTCTGGCTGAAGATCGTAAATTGACTTCTGATGTCTGGTCACATTTTGTGAGGGTCAAGTTTAATGGGGAGATTAAAGCCAAGTGTAAATACTGTCGAAAACGTTTAGGTGGTGATACTAGTAATGGAACCTCCCACTTGAGGAACCATTACAAAACTTGCACCCAAAGAAAGATACATGATGGTAGGCAGAGAGTTCTTGGTCCTGATTATAAACCAACTGGAAAACCCCTCCTATCTGCTACTCAATTCAATTCTGATGTGTCTAGGAAGGAATTGTGCTCTATGATTATGGTGCATGAGTATCCCCTGAACATTGTTGAACATGTGGGGTTTAAACGTTTCTGTTGTTCTTTGCAACCCCAGTTCACTGTCCCTTGTAGAAATACAGTTAAGAGGGACATATTTGCTTTATATGGGGCTGAGATGGCAAAGCTTCAGAAGGTTTTAGATGGTAATATTGGTAGAGTTGCAGTCACAACTGATATGTGGACTGCAACTAACCAAAAGATGGGGTATATGGCGGTTACTGGTCATTTTATTGACAATTCTTGGAAACTTAAAAACATGATGTTGAGTTTCATCTATGTCCCTGCCCCTCATACTAGTAAGAGGTTGGGAGATAGGTTGTTCAAGTGTTTGCTTGGTTGGAATCTTGATAGAAAGTTGTCCTCGATTACCTTGGATAACTGTACCACCAATGATGCCATGATTACTCATATGAAAACTAAACTTGCTATTGATGATCTGTTGTTGGATGGTGTGCTGGTTCAAATGAGATGTTCTGCTCATGTTTTGAATCTCATTGTGAAAGAAGGGTTGGAAGTCATCAAAGATGGCATTGAATTGGTTAGAGATAGTGTTGTGTACTGGAAGTCCACTCCTAAGAGGGTACAAACCTTCTTTGAAACTGCTAAGCAGCTTAAAGTGCCTTGTGAGAAGCAACTTGTGCTTGATTGTCCAACTAGGTGGAACTCCACCTATGATATGCTATCTACAGCCATTGTGTATAGAGATGTTTTCTCTCGTTTGAGGCAGTGGGATAGTCAATACACCACTGTCCCTACTAGTATGCACTGGGAGTTTGCTGCTATGGTCATTGATAAGCTGGAAATTTTCAGTGAGATCACAAAGCTGTTTTCTGGCAGCAAGTATCCCACTGCTAATTTGTTTTTCCCCAAGGTTTGTGATCTGAGACTGAAATTGTTGGAATGATGTGCTGATACCAATTCTCTTATCTCGGCTATGGCTGAGAGTATGTGGGAGAAATTTTCTAAGTATTGGGATGATATACACTTGGTTCTCGCTGTGTCAGTGGTTCTTGATCCTAGATACAAGTTGCATGTGATTGAGTATTATGCGGCTAAGTTTGGCAGTACTAATACTGACTTGGTGGCTGATAAGATTAAGCAATGTATTTGTGGTTTGGTGCTTGATTACCAAACCAAGTCTGAGAGGAACAATTATGGTTCTTCAACTGCTTATGATAGTTCTTCTACTCCTGCAAATGATGATCTTGATTTTGAACTGTTTGTGAGTCGGAGGAAAAAAAGCAAAGCAACTCTGGTCCATACTGAACTGGATCACTATCTTCTTGAGGAACTGATTCCTAAAAGGTCTCCTGACTTTGATATACTGATGTGGTGGAAACTGAATGGCCTTAAGTACCCCACTTTGCAAGCAATTGCAAGGGATTTCTTGGCCATACCAATTACATCAGTGGCTTCTGAATCTGCTTTTAGCTCTGGTGGGAGGTTAATAGACCCTCATCGGAGTAGATTGCACTATGATACAATAGAGGCAATGATGTGTACCAGAAGTTGGATTATGGAGGAAATGCAACAAGGTAATCTGCAATTACTTGTCTTTTTCATTAAAATGTTAACTTGATTGAATATTAATTGTCTTTTTCATTGTTTTCTTCAATCTGCAGAATCATCGAAGGCTGCTGTAGAGGCAATGGAAGGGGTGTTCTCTGCTCTAGCAATTTCAGATTCCAGTACTGAAGATCAAGACGAAGCTGGTAATTAGTTCAATTTAGATTGGTACTTAGTTTGATAGTTTCAATCTCTAACTGTAATTTTTTATTCTTACAGTTCAGGGGGGACTTGTGATGAGGAAGCATTTAATATCCCTAGACGACTGATTTGTTCAATGCAATGAAAGGTTCAAGGTATTGAGCTAGACTTGAGCCTTTTAACTTGTTCAATTTAAAAGTGACTTTCACTTATCTAACTGTGTTTAAGTGACTTTCACTTATCTAACTGTGTTTGCTACTCTGTTTCTTGCAGTGATTGCTTTTCATTTTTCAAGGATGAATGCTGCTGTTGAGTGTTGAGTTGGTTTCCAGCAGCATAGTGTTGCTTACTGTTATAAACGCGCTGCTACGGATCGGGAAATCGCCGGGATCGACAAAGCAAGAATACGAAAGCGAGAATCGAAAACACGACACACGATTTACGTGGTTCACTAACACGATGTGTGTTAGCTACGTCCACGGGCGAGAGAGAGACAGTTTCACTATATCGAGGAGATTACAGATTACAGAGGAGTATGAGAAGTATTTATACTACTTCTCCATGTGGGTCTAAACCTAATCCAATCTAGCAAAGGAAACGGTTACAGACCAGGCCCAGAACCCGAACCCAAATAACATTGAGCCCATACACCGTGGGCCGGGGGCGTTGCCCCTGGACCCCACTCGCTGACCGGGCAGCGAGACCCCCGATTACCAGTCGTAGCGGCTGATAATCCGATTCAAGTCATATCAACACTTACTTTTTGGAAGAAAAGATCAAAGGAACTCGTGTGTGCTATTAGTATAGGTTTTAGTTCGATTTATGGATGATGTTATTGGGGCTGTCTGCCTTTGTTTTTTATCTCTTCCTTTTGAGTTTTGAACTTGAACACTAGTGTAGTGAAGAACATGTTATATGGGTTTTGGGTGGTGGGTTTTGGTTGCAGCAGCTTGTTTGGTTGCTGCAACCTATCACTTTTGTTTCATTGTTTGAACAATGAAGATCTGGGTGTTGGGTGGTGGGAGGGTTACAGCCCCAGATCTTCTCTTTTGTGTTTTGAATTTATGTGCCTTGAACATCAAGGTACTTTGAAGTTTGAATTTCATGAATTTTTTATTAGGTTTTTCCTTTTTTTTGTATTTTTCTCAGGATCCGTGGTGATCCGTGGTTTACCCGAATCCGTCTGGGGACGGTGACGGAAACCAAACGCGCCCCGACAAAGGGACGGGGACGGGGACAGGGAAATCCGTCAGCCTTGACGGATGGGTAACGGGAACTAGCTACCCGTCCCCGATCCACCCCGTTGCCAACCCTACACACGATGAATGACGTTAGTTACTCCTACGAGATAATTCTTACGAAATTAATTAAGTTATTAATGACGTCAATCACTCATACAATACGTTAATTTTGTCTTGAGTTCAAATATTATGAGTTTGGCACGAATTATCATGCGACAGTTGAGAGATTTTTTTTCTATTTATCTTACCATGTTATACCATGAACTTACCACTAAGAAGTCTTATCATAGTGGTACAACTGTGGTATGACAGTAGTAAGACTGTAAGATAAAGTCTTAGTAACTATCATTGTGAGATTAAGGTGCGACAATGGTGATGTAATATAAATTCTTAGCACGAGAAAATCAGAATTGTATACAATTGAAGATCGAGCACAAGACAATGATATTTTACGTGGTTTTCCTGTCCAGAATGAACATGAATTAATCCTCAGCTCACGACTGGCGATTTTATTATTGACAGTGGCTAAACTCTTCTTGACAACCGAGTTTTAATACTCAACTAGGACATTGATAACCAAAGACAATTATGACAAATAACAATTACTTAAAAAAACACAACAAGCAAAACTAAAGTAACTCCAACATTCCCCCCCTCAAATCAAAAGGTACCAATGTTTAGTACGGCGAGCTTGAAAACGGATCAAACACTCAAACAGGTTTCGATTAACCAAAACAAGCACATGTACATATATGCATTAAAGCTCGTTTATGAGTATTATCATGGATTGTCTGACTGAGTATGTTGAGTAGCATATACTCAATGTCGGAACGAGCGACGATGATGAGATCAACAGGCGACCCATCAAGCAAACGAAAACCAGGAGTCGAGCTGTCGCGACGAGACGATTAATGGTTCACATGATCAGAAGAAAAGCAGCCATTTGGTACAACAAAGAGGTAGGAGGAGGTGTGGTTAGGTTTGAATCATGCAAAGAGGAACCTGCTAGCTGCTGGGACATAGAAAGCGAGAGGAGAGGAAGGAAACAAAGAAACACATCGATCGATCATTGCTAGCTTAGCTGGGTATATACGTAGGTGAAACCTCAAATCGATCGCGTAAGGCCAATTCAATTCGGGTACCCTAATATTGCCAAACCATGTAACTAATTGAGCCATATGCCTGCCTTGCCTGATGAGCTAGCTCTTCTTGTACTTAATTATGACAATGGAGGGTACCCTACGGGTACGTACGTAAAGGGCCTTGCCTGCTAAGGGACACTGCCCGCTTTGTCACCCCAAATGTCCCCTTCGTCCTGCGTTTGCCAGCCCGCACACATCACACCACCCGCCCACCGCTGGCATTCGCCTGCCCGACCCGCCCCCTCTGTCTAGGGTGCCTGAAAAGTTTGATAGTATTCGGGATAGATATACCGAATATTGTACTGAATTTATCGATATTTGATATTATCAAATACATGTATTATTCTATGGGATTGAAATTGAATTTTAAGTGTTATTTGATATTATTGATTATGCGATTGAGATCGGTTTATATACCGAAATATAAGTAGGGATGACAATGGATCGGGTTGGGTAGGGTTTTGTCAAACCTAAACCCATGGGTTTATTCATAAAAAAAAACCGGGGTAAAACTCAAACCAAACCCAACTCAACCTACTGGGTATCCGCGGGTTCATGTGGTAAAAAATTTACAATAACAAGTTCCTATCAAAATAAAATTCAAACATCAATTTCCCCATACAAATTATCTATACATAAAACACCATTCTAGAAAATTCAAACATATCACAATTACACTAAATAAAATCACACGAAATAAGTGTAGTGAGAGTTAGATTGGAGGAAATTAGAATTAGGGTAGGGTTTGGGGAGAGTAAGGCGACGAAATAAGTGTGGGGCGGGTATCCATGGGTCGGGTACCCCTAAACCCAAACCCAACCCAACCCGGTGAAATAGTGTGTGGGTTTAAACCAAACTCAGCCCGAAATCCGTCAATGTGGGTTTCAACCGCGTTGACCGGATTGGGTCGAGTAGGGTACCCATGGGTTCGGATTTTGTTGTCATCCCTAAATATAAGATAATATTGTACACTTTATCATTCCCAACTAGGCTCTCAACACTCACTTCTACAAAACCCTCAACTGCAAAAAATGATCACTTAATTATACATATACCTCATTCCCACACCTACTTGACAACTCATACCAAGCTCGTTTCGTCACTTATAGTGTGTTGATGGGCCGCTTATGTCAAGAACCAGTTGTTGCTCCCAGTAACTCGAGTTGTTGGAAGAGATGGATCATATATATCATTTACTAGCATACCCGCGCTCAAACGAAAAAAACCAAAATATATGGGCTTGAAAGTTTGCACAGGTTCGAACTCCATGTGCTTTAACAGAACAAAT